TTTCTGAGACAATTTATAACTTGTTAAACATATAATGTGATGTGCACTTGTAAATAATTATTACCAGTCCCTGTACCAACTTTGAACAAAACTGGATGACACATATCTGAGAAAAAGCTTGTTTTTTTTTAGATTTTAAAGAAAAAATGGCCTCCAAGCCGTAAAAATTTATTTAATCAAACAGGTCATGAATGACACCGCCTTCACTTGTTGTCATTTGAAAGTTGCAACATATAATTTGTCCAGTTTCTGGCATGGACATAAATTGGCAAACATGATTTCTATGGCATTTTCAAGTTTATAGCACTCCCCATGCTGGTCTCAGGAAGAACACCAGAGAGCAACAAACAAGTACAACAGGTAAAATGACATGCAAGTATGCAAATCATATCTGCAAATATGTTGAAGCGTCAGTGTCTGTTTGGATAAACTTCCTTGTACAACTGTATTCCTAATACAAGGACACTGTCAATCACAGAACTATTCCAGCAAAAAACTTCTGATATTTTAGACAGTAACAGGGCAATGATACTGTTTGTCATACAAGTACTAGCACCAGATGAGGAACTGAGAAACTGCAATGATCCTTGGTGTACATTACCTGTGTCAACAACTTTACTTCCCATGTACTACATGTACAGATCAAGTTTTTATTATCATACATTAATATTAACAAATCGTGTGAAATTGAACTTTTATGTACAGAGAAACACATATTTATGCTTTGGTTGATAGCACTTCTCAAAGTAAAACATAGTTGAACTCTGGTGACCTTGCCCTTTGTTATATAATATAATTCCCTTTATCATAGTTTGTTTCAATATAAATATGCATTGTCATAATTAATTTTGAATACAAACAAGTTTTGGGGTTGAACCAACAGTGGGGAATCAGTCTACCGAATGTCCTTAAAAGATGTAAATATCTTACAAAAACATTGGTGCCTTATTTGTTTAATTATTTTAAGGAACATAATTTCCAGCTTTATTGAAAGTAATTAAGATATTTAGAATAAAAACAAATGTCTCATTGCAAAAAAAAAGTGTTGCATTTAGATGTGAATAGATTCATAAAACATGCAAGATAACAGAAAATTTTAGCTGGCTTTAGTCCAAGTATTTTGTACAGGTGTCTGTCAAAAATTAATGATTCACTGAGACAAATATGAACTGCCTCATTGTGTGACTACTGTATTATATGAAAAGTAAAAAAAAACACCCTTTATGAATAGCTATCATGTTGCAAGCTCTGCTTTGTATGCAAATCAACTTAAATAGTTGGTGTCCAGTGGAGGGAGAAGTCAACAGTACTGTTGCCTCCTGAGAAACTACATCTTCAAACACTGCAATCTCTGAAGTGCGTTTTTAAACTAGTATTATAAAAACATAAACATAAGTCCGCGTTTTCGTACTGCATCTAAACGAGGACTAATAAGCCAGTTAAGAGGCTTAAGTGGCCATTTTATATGCGTCGTGGCTCCTTTCGTTAGTACCTTCCATGCTGCTACTGTACACGCGACTGCTACTGTACACGCGACTGCTACTGTACACGCGACTGCTACTGGGTAATATTTTCTACTGACAGATTAGACAGACTAGTTTCAACATGTGTGCATGGAAGACAGAAGCTCATTATGACAGATGTTGCCTTAGTAGAGGTATACTTTTTCAGTAAATTATTTATTGAGTCAGTGTTCACATTCCAGTCACTCATCACCAACTTTAATCTCACCTTATGTCGCTGAACTTGTTTTTTTATATCTTCTAAATTGGAACTTATAGTGTTTTGCTGCTTTATCTTCTGTTCCATACAAGTTAACCAGTCATCTAACTCATCAAGTTGCCTCTGCTGTAGTTTCATCAATTTTTCATGTAAACTAAAATGAAAATAATAAATATACACGCAGCCTATCAGCTGGTATAACCCCGCTATAAAGGGATATAAAATCAATTAGTCTAGCAATTTTTGATATAAGAATATTTACTGAAATATATAAACTGAGATGACAGAGGAATGTACCAAATCAATGACAGTAGGTATCCAAGATACCTACCGTATATATCAAATATCAAAACAATCAGGCTGGTGGTTACAAAAAATTACAAAAACTTTGAATTGAAAGTATAGTCACAAAATGAACAAACCTGACTAAGGTCCAACTTAAGGTGTCTACATATCAAATATCAAAGCAATCAGACTTAAATAGCATTTTTTCTCAAAAATATTCATTAAAATTATAGCATTGAAGTTATTGTTTCAAAATGAACAAATCTGATTAAGATTCAATTTACATGTAAAATGTTGAAGGAGTTGGGCTATCCATTTTTTCAAGAATTTGAATATAATAATAATAATAATTTATTTACCTAGAAAATATTTCATACAATACTCAAAATTGTACAAGCAGTCTAGGTAAAATGGAATCTGAAATAGCTTAAAAGCTAGTCGAGTCAGATCCCTAACATAACTTGAATTTAATGACTTAAGTTAAGACTGACAGTAGGTTACACCTCAGTACATAATATAACACAGGCAGATGCCAAATAATCGATAATATGAACACCTCCACTCGGCCGACTATTTGGCTGATACCCCGCCCTGGGCGATCTTATGGAGGATTCGTTTTTTTTTTAGAAAAATGTAGACCAAAAGATCGCCCGGGCGATCTTTTGGCAGATATTACGAGGTCCATCTTATCTGGAACAAGACATGAAATGTCACAGTCCCCGTTATTTGATTATAAAGTTGTACAAGGAACATCTGCCAACAGGTGAATAAATATGTACTCTTTGTGGTTACAACTCATCATAAAGTGATTTTCGATGATCTAGTTTTGTACTGACAACTAAAAACTTCCACTGACCATGTTCAGAATCTCAGAGAACACATGTATACTTGCTCAAGAAACTGCATTCATAAATCTGAGTGAACCTTGATGTACATGACTTCTTTGTTAATCAGGTCTTTAATAGTATATTACCAGGACCTGGGTTTGTTTCAACATCACCACTGGCCATCAGAATCATTCTCATGTTGTCAAATACAATTTGTTATTAACACAGTAAGGTTTATTATTTAAAATGTATTCATTGTACATAGAACAACATCTGTTAATTTAAACAATTGTAAAAGCTATGTTTTCAGAGCAAGTAAAGGTTGGTCTGCTTATAACCTTCAATGGAGAAGTAACAATAATTGTTTGAAGTCTTTTTAGTGCAGTGATATTATTGCATTTCAATTATTATTAATGGGTATAAAATACTGTAAACCATTTAATTTTGACTTCTAGATATATTCAGGATTTTATGAAATTTGTGTACAACATTTCAAAAAAGTCCCTGACACTCCATGTTGTAGGAACCCAGAAAAAATTCAGTTCACAGCACCACTGTAAAAAAAAAAA